CCATGCAATTAAGTGCTTGTGGGGGAGACTGCAGACACTACCACAGCACACACCTCTGATCTTTCCCCGAAGATCAGTGCGTACCAAATACCTATTCAGTGTTTAGTTACACACTGGTGTTCAGCTTAACACATGGGTGGAAATGGCTGTGCCAGTGCTTGAAGTCTGCAGGAGTTCAAGTAGCAAAGGGGTGTGAAATTAGGACACACACAGACACACAAAAAAGTGAGCTGCAAGTATGTGTGTGAACTGAAAATCCCCGCTGTTGTTTATTGTGCTATCGGAGCAGTAACCGAGGGGAGGGTGGCCTCACTTCAGGAGGTGAATTTGTGGGACATCTTGCAAGGAGTCAAGTGGAAAAGAGACCAGAGCTAGGTCTGCCTGCTGGCAGAGAGCTGTGCTGGGTGAAGGCCTTCCCTGTCTGTGAAACTGGGGTGAGCAAGGAGAAGGATCAGCTTATTTGGGAAACGCCACCAGGCCCCCATTCCTCACAGCACTGAGCGTTGCTTGGATGAATGGAAAGAAAGTATTTTCTGCAGAGAGAGGGAGAAATACCTGTGTGTGAATCACGTTGAACACATTTGACACTAGCTGTGTTTGCAGGGCAGTGCAGGAGCTCTCAGGACCCTCCAGTGCCAAGAAAATATCAATGATACACCCCAGGACTGTTTCCTTGACCAGTGCTTGTGTTCCATTCCATACCTGGGTGTTCCTAGAGCACCACTCAGGCTGCTGATGGCACACAGGGCACTCACAGTGTCACAGATCAGTCCTCAGCTGTGAGAGGGAGCAGCAGAGTGGCCTAAGTGGAGCCTCTGGCTCAGGCTGAGCAGCCCAAAATCTCGGAGGTGTGCGGGATGTGCAGGTGACCCTGGGGTTGCTGCTTGTGCTGGGCTGTGCAGGGAAATCCCTGCAGCCCCGAGGCACATCATGGGGCTGCCTAAGCACAGGGAAAAGGTTTTCTTCTCAGGTAGTGCTTGAATTTGACCCAAAACCATGGCTTTTCTGGTCTCTTGTCCAGTCCTCTCTCAGGTGGGTGCTGGACAGCAGACTGAATCACATAAACTTCAGGTGAGATGAGTAGAAAAATATTATTTATTTATATATATATATGTATGTGTGTGTATATATCTATATCTATCTATATATATATATATATGTGTATATATATATCTATGTCAAAAATATATTAGAAATAAATACTTACAAACAAATTATATTACCATATAAATATTCTAAAAACAGGGGGACAAAAGGGGCAAAAAATTACTGTCAGTATGACCAAATAGGCCAGAAAGCATGGTTTGGCATATTAAATAAGCTTCTTAGAAGGATTGTTTACCAGTGTTTGTTGAAACTTGGTAAAACCAGTTGCCTTCAGGAGCTTTGGAGCAGGTTTTAAAGTACTGAATTAGTGGATTCAAGAAAATTTGTTCAGAAAAATTCTGCTTAAAACATGTGCTAAGATTCAGTGCTACTTGCTCGTGTTTTACAGAATGGGATTTGTAATTCGGATGTGAGATGAGTGAGATTCCTAGGATTTGAAATGAAATATGGATTTGAACTGAAGCCTATAGACATTCTTGAAAACAACAGAAAAACTAGTTCTCTGTGCAGAGTAGCAATTTGGGAATACATGAGGTCTTGTGAAACATGGAGAGTAACATTTAAGATCTCTTCCATGAAGTTGCTTTTCATTCTTGCTCAGCTGCTTCACTCAAACTTACAATTATGTATGGATATTGATTTTCTAGTTCTTTAATTACTGTTTTGAACCCACCAAGAGTTGAATAGATGGTGTGCCATATGCTAAACTCTCCATACAGGAAGAGTTTTCAAAAAATTACGTCTTAACAATCTAAAAGTGCTATAAATGTATCTTGGTGATGCTCATATCTGGAACATTCCCATTATAGATACTTTATTTTTTTACATCCAGCATCAGATGTTAGCAGCATAATGGCTCTTGGTGACGGAGGAGGTGGTGGGAACACTTGTGTGATGTGCACTCTTAGTCTTTTGGTTTGGAATTGGGTGAGTTCACCATGTTTCCACCAATGGAAATTGTGCTGCAAGGCTTGAGTTGTAAGTTCTCATTAAGCTAATTGCATCTCCCCATCTTTAAAATGTAGGAATGTAATTTCCACTGCACAGTTAGAGGAATTACTGTTTATTTCCTGGTAGTATTCTGATAAATGCTTGACTTGAACCACTTAAATGGTTCTTTTCTGTGGAATTCAGTAGCTGCTTGTGGGATGTAGGAATGCCTTGTCCAATTAGAGCAGGAACTTCAGGCAGAGAGCACCAGGTTAGCAACATGAGTCAGACAGTAACCTTTTTTGTTTGTTAATGGAGTGAATGTATCATCAGGGTACAGATGAATGTGTGCTCTAATTGTCTTGGCAGGGAGGGGGGAGCTCTGGCCTGTGTCATGTCTTTAACAGAAATTACTGCAGCATTGTCATAAATTGATTGGAAATATTTTTTCCTCACATTACTCATGGGATGTCAACAAGTATGCAAATGTGAAAATTCAACATATGTCTGCTTGCTGCTTCTGCACGGTTTCTCACACCAGTTTAATGAGTAAAAACTGTCTTTTTAAAATGTCACTTCAAACCCAAGTCTTCTGGTGTTGAAGACCACCTCACTAATACTTTCTTAGTCTTGTGACAGGATGTGAAATAGTACATTAATTTGCTCATTTTACACACTTGAACTGCAGTTTGGTTTTTGTCTTTTCTGTTCCCCGCCTGTCGTTACAGTTTGTATATTTGGTATTCCTCCTTGTTACACAGTGTTGCACCTATTTGTGCGTCTCTGCCGTCTTTCCCCAGAGCATCAGTTTCCCATTGATCCTTTGCTGTGACACAGTGAAACCTTAGTATCTCTCTTTTGATCTCTGTGAATGCATTTATTTCCGAATGAACCCATAGCATTGTTACATTCTGTAAAGGCTTCCTGAGAGCACAATAACAAGGGCTGGGGCAGCCATACAGACCTGGTAGGACCCTATGGGATTATTCTGTGCTGTGCTTCTGTCCTATATCTCTTGGTGGGAGGTGGTCCCAGCTCTCCTGGCACAACCCTTGCCAATCTGGGGTTCACCACAGCTGGACCAACCTGGAAGCCTAAAGCCTTCTACTGAAATCTGCCACTTTTACCCTCCATGCACTCATTTCATTGCACTGCTGGTTTGTTTAGCCCAAGAAGTAACAGCATTTACACAGAGCTGGAGATGGTAAAAGCATCATTCTTAATTAGCACATTCTGCACGTTTAGGTCAAAAGTTTTAGGGTTGTCTTGTTGTTGCAGTGTTGAAATATCTTGTGTTTTTGGAGCAGAGACAGTGGGGACAGGCAGGGATGTTGGGCTGTGCTGGAGCACTCTGCAGGCACCCCAGAGTCCTGAGAGGAGGCACAAACCTCTCTGGGCATTACAGCCTTGTGCTGTCAGTGTGGGCATCAAGGTGCCCGGGATGCCAAAGCTTTCAGTCGGTGTCAGAGCCGTGGGGGTGCTGAAACTGCCTGCAGCAAACCTGGGCTTTGTGCTGCTCCGCCTTCCTTCACAGGGCAGGAAGGATGTGATCACACAGACCCTTTTATCTGGACGGCAGGCTTCATGTTTGGATAAGAACAAAAAAGGGACTCTCATAAGACAAATGAGGTGCTTTGAAAAAAAAAGCATTATTGGGTATTCAGGATGTATTGGCAGAAAAGTGTTTCTTCTCTGTCTCTTACATGTGTCTTAGATTTAGTCTACAACATTTCTTGGTTAAAATTTGCATGGTAGTTGAACTGGGAAGAATTAAGTCAACTCTTAAGAGATCCTCTCTCCCCACAGTACTCAAGAGTTCAAACTAAAACCAGTCACATGTTTGAATGATATATATTTAATTCGAGGAAAAATGTACATCTTTGCTTTTGAAGTTGGACAGAGAGTAAAGTAATATGTAAATATATTACATGTACAAAGTACAAACAGCTAGTGAAAACCATTTTTGGGGAAGGCCTCTCTGAGATTTTAAAATTTCACACTTGTTAGGTCACTGCAATAATTACTGCTCCAGCAGAGCCATGATGACAGTGATCACACAGAACATGGTTTTGAACAGGAAGGCAGATCCTCTGCCTCTCTTCTTTGTGTAGTTATCTACTGGTTTTTGAAAATGAATAGGGAGAATGTTTCAATTAAGAATAGCCATGTATCATGAGGTGCATTCAAATGCAGTTAACTTCTTAGAGACAGTGCAGGTAGAAAATATAAAAGACCTTCTCCTCCTTCTCCTCCTTCTCCTCCTTCTCCTCCTTCTCCTCCTTCTCCTCCTTCTCCTCCTTCTCCTCCTTCTCCTCCTCCTCCTCCTTCTTCCTCCTCCTTCTTCCTCCTCTGGGGAATCAGCTGGAGCTCTGGCAGTCATTTGTAGCTCTGCTGCCACCAGAGCCGAGGTCTGGTTGAATTTCAGGATCTGTTTTCCCTTCGCTGCAGAGCTGTTGTTTTTCAGCCATGCCATGCATCGAGGCTGCCATCGCTTCTCCTGATGCAGCCTGAAGTTTCCATGTTCTTTGGAAAAACCACAGGGCTATTTTTCAGTAGTGCTAACAGCTTGACACATTCCACATGCTAAAAAAGTTGACTTGGAAAAGCAACCAGTGACACTGTATGAAAATATTGTATTTACAGTAAGCATGCTCACTCAGAGCAGCACGGGGTCATTTGTTAGCTCACTGGGCACTTGTCCAAATATTAAAAATGTTGACATTAAGTAATTTGGGGGCTTAATAATGTTTTAATTAATGACTATTTAAACACCTCTGGTCAGATTGACCTGCATGTCTAGTTGAAAAATTCTGGTAGAGGTAATAGATTTGGCACGTTGAGTACCTTGTGGTTTGTGGAAGGCAGTGGGGCGTATCTCAAACTTGTGATAATCCTTTATTTCTTAAGAAGAGGAGCAAACAAATGCACAATACTAAATGTTGTCCTTTCTGTTTATTTTTCAGATTAGCACTGTACGTATATGAATATCTGCTCCATGTAGGAGCACAGAAATCAGCCCAGACATTTTTATCAGAGGTGAGTTTTTTTACACTTCTTCCGAGGGCCTGCAAGTGAAATAAATATGATTTGGTCTAGAGTAAGAGCAGTGAGATACTGATACCTTGGGTATCAGTTTGCCTCAATCCACTGTTCCTCATGCTCTGTAACCCAGTTTGTCATGTCATTTTACATGATCTTGTGTAACTATTTTTGCTGTGGTTTGTAATCCCCATTCTGTACTGGGGAAGATTAATCTATTTTCTCTAATAAGTGGGCATGCTGGAGAACCCTTCAATGGTACTCAGTTTTGATGACCTTTTAACTTACTATTGATATCTCAAATTGTGAATGATGGGCCCTTCTAAATGTATTTTACATCCCACTGTCATACACTATCAATTCTCCTTCTCTGAAGCACTGCTGATCTCTCTGTGCTCTCACCATGCTTTTAACCACTTCACTTCTTTTCATCTGTTGAATCAATGACAGCCACAACCACTTAGGTCCTACTTTTTTAAACACTTTCAATGGCTAATGGAATTTTTACCTTTACACAGTAGTTTTGGGGTTTTTTAAAGTCTTTTCAAAGACTTTTTATGCATCTTGCGAAGATTGAAGTAAATTGTGTCTCCTCAGCATTTTACTTTTGCTAAAGGATACAAATGTATGTTGAACACATTGAAGTTTTCTGGGTTTATTATTATTTTTAATTTTTGACTAGAACATACAAGATAATAATAACAACAACAATAAAAATAACCAATAATAATAACAATAGCGTAGTAGTGGTAGTAATAATAGGAAGACTGAGCAGAAGTTGGGAAAAAATAGGCAAGATATTTTCCTAGGAAAATTTGCTGCTTTAACTGATCCTCTTTGAAAAGCAAATAAAATTATTATGCTGGTGATGACATTTTGGAGATGGAAGAGGGGAAAATGAAAATCCAGAGGGTTGTTTGTGATGTTTGCACAAAACTGACAAAGCAGAGATAAGGAAAAAGGGTAGAATTGTAGCATGATCAGTTTACATTTATAATAAGGGATGGTTTTGACAATTGTTTTATCTCTGTGGTAAAACATTGGTAAAATAAGAGAAAATAGTGTAGAGTATCATCTTGGCTTTCCCAAAACAGCTGTCATTTGTAAATAATGCATTGCACAAGGTAAATTTTGCTCACTTTGTTTTTATGATGTTTTTGCAAAATGAACAGTCAGCAGAAGCATAGCTGGTATGACATCTAGATTTCCTGAAAACTTTAAATACAGTGTCTTAAAACTCAGCTTTTAAAACTAATTCAGTCTTGAGTTGCAGAGATGCTCTCAGGTCTGAACAATGAAACCTAAGGATATATCAAATCTTCAAAATTAAGGCTTGCACTCATCAAGAAACAGTAAACACAGATCAGGAACAATTAGTAGTGCATAGAGTGGGTATGAGGTACAAGCTGTGAGTTTATTTCCCTCACTAATTAACAGTACAGGAGAGTAAATGTGCTGACAGTTCTTGTGAATGGTTCTGTGACTGCTGGGCTGGATGCTCTCTCAGTTTGGGTGGGTTTCATTTTAAAGTTGAACAGTTGAGAGTATCTCTAAAGCTGTGTGTTGGGGCTGAAGAGAAGAGCACACATAGATTTTCTGAGCTGTAGGGCAGCCAGTGGTGTCTAAAGGTTGAGATCCCTCTCTGCCAGGGACTGTGACTCAGAGGAATGGAACCAAATTAAAGGAAAATAGAAGTTGGATATCCATGAATCCACTGTGATACTCTAACTTAGGGATGGTTGTCCTGAGCATCCCCATGTTTTTGTCCTGCTTTGTGTCTAGTTTGACTTTTGTATGCTTCCCTTGAAGACCTGATCCTTATCCCACCTATTTGCTATGCTGGAAGTCAGATTCCAGCCTTGGATAATTCCACTAGCCTGGCTGGACCAGGCTGGTGGGCATTTCACAGTTAATCATTCCCTGGCTATGAGCTTAACCAGTACACTTTGCAATGAATATTTTTTTTTTCTATAAATAATAATTCTTCCTAAGTCCCATTGATCAGACAGACCACATCTGCTATGTTAGACACAAGTATGGATATGTTAAAAAAAAACAAAACAAAAATCCTTGAAAAGAGTCCAAAACTTCCACATTCCCTTCAGTCTCCTTCTCCCAGTCAGTTTCTCAAGATGACATATGTCCCAGGACCCAAAAAGACCTGAACTGAATAATTTTCTCACCAGGCCCTGCTTTGAAGAAAACAATTACTGCTTAAACATAATGTGGGTGTTCTTCACAGACATAATTTTTACTCCTAAGGGACTGGTATTTCTGCTTCAGGAACCCCTTTTTCGTTCTGGTTGTACAATGCATCTCTTCATTATGTGATTTTGAACCTTCTCAGAGGTACTGTGTGTTCCTGATTATTAATACAAGTCTTTCCAAGACATTCCCAGGGCGCATGAGGAGCAGCTGTGCCTCAGAGAAGTGTATTTGAAGAGTGTGTAATACCTTTGCAGTGGCTTTGCCTTTCAAATGTTCATCACTTTTTCCTGCCAGCACTTAAGGAACTTTAAGCACTTAAGCACTTCAAGAACTTTGTGAAATATGTTTTTTGTGTATTAACTGCTGTGTGAGGGATGTTGGTTTTCATTCTGCCAGCTTTACCAACTCAAGTGGCAGTGGCTCAGTGTTATCTTCTATAGCCAATTTAAAAAAGCATATTTGTTTTTGAATAGTTCTGTTCATATAATATATCAAAATTGCATTTATAGAAAATCTCATGTTTGAGATTTTCTATATGGATTTTCATGTAAGTCCAAACAACATTTTTAGGCATATGAGCTACATATTCTGCTATTGACAAAACTTTTATGTGTTTCAATTTCCTAAGAATTGGATGTGGAAATCAAGTGTGAGTTGAGAATCTTAAGTCTCTTTGGAAAATGTCAGCTTTAGGAAGGACCATGGCAGTATGAACACTATATCTACCTTTAATATTATGCTTTCATGTACTTTTACATATATGTATATGGATCTATCACTTAAAATTCCTTCATATTAAGGCTGTTTAAGCATTTAATTACATATCTCTCTTCTTGTCTGCCATTGTTTCTGTCTCTAGAGAAGAATATAGTTTGTGCTTTCAACAACTCCTTTTTTAAGAGAGTTGGACAGGAAATTATGCTGTGTGTTATTGTTACTGGAGGAGTTTGCAGTGCACACAATGCAAAGTGTGCACCAAAGATCCACCAAGTTCTAACATGAGACATTCTTCTGGGCAGTGTTGTGTGGGCTTTGTGATAGCCCAAACCATTTAATTTTGGAGTTAAGGACAAGCTACCAATAGGCATTGAAAAGATGGGTGTGTAATTACAGTTAAGGCACAACATTTGGGAAGTTCTGCGGAGAGACAGACGCTGTGATTGGTGTTGTCTGATGCGTTCCCTGTCATCAACAAAAGTTTGAATTCAGGAGTTCTTAAACTGCATTTCCTTTGAAAAAACAGCATCAAACAGAGCCGGTTTCCTCGGTGGGAAGGAAGTCCCAGGCAGTACAGGTGTTGAGGAGAGTTTGCCAGCACAGGAGAGCAAGCCAGAGGAGCTGTTTTCCCTGGGTTATGGCAGCGGTGCTGCCTCGCTTTTGCCACATTACCTGTGACTGAGCACTCCTTGAGGATTACAAAACACTGCTGGCCCTGGCTGCCGGGGGGAAGAGTGCCACCTGCTGAATCCACAGCATCAGTCCTGTGTAAATGGGAAAAGATTTCCGTTTTAAGGGTCCTTAATAATCACTTTTTTAATCATGCAATTTGCACCTTAAAATAGTACATAATATATCCAGAATTTAAAAAAAAAAACGAAAAAAACCAAAAAACCAAACCCAAAGAATAAAATTCTAAACTATGCTTCCCCAGCATAAAAGGAGCTAATTTCGAGTATCAGCTATATCATTGAATGTAGCAAAATAAGTAAATAGGGCATCCAAATTAAAGACCATAAAGCATCTCATAACTGTGAAATCTTCTCTTCCTCATCCTTTTTCTATCTGAATTATGTAGTGCTTTTTAGTCACAACGATCACAAGAATGTACACCTTTGCCACCTTTGTTTTTATCATTTTGTTTTAGATAAGATGGGAAAAGAACATCACACTGGGGGAGCCCCCAGGATTCTTGCATTCCTGGTGGTGGTAAGTACCAGTTTTCCTCTCCTCTGATTTTCTTAGAACTGGTTGATGTCCAGTTCCAGCTGCTGGAGGCAAGAAACTCAGGTGAACACTGTGAATAGAATGAGAGGATCAGGATTAAGAAACATTCTCTTGTTAAGGAATAAAATAACAGAAAATTAGTTACAGAAAAGGAAATAATAGAAAAAGATACTGGTTATTGGATACAGAAAAAAAGAAATAGTGCGTGGTGTGTTGATAAGAAAGGAGGTGGCATGGCTTTCCTTCTTCACTGTCCAGCACATTTTGCAGCTAAGAGGTCATTCTACATATGACAAATACTTGCATTTGGAAAGAAAACACAGTAAATACAGAAACTGTGTGTAGATGTGAGCTTGCTCAGTCTGCGGTCCATAGCTGTGTGTGTAGAATTCCCCAGGGGAGAAGAGTGCTCAGAGGCACTGCTGTGCAGCCGTGGTATTTATTCATTATTTTAGTATATCCAACAAGCCTGTGTTTGAAGAAATGCAGAAGTGCAGAGAATATGCCCAGCTGTCAGTAGTACAAGAATTCACAGGTTTTGAAATGGTCCCATTTGAACCCAAGTGATTTGCACAGATGCCTAGGAAGTGGAGTATCCTTCTTTGACCATTCTTTCACAGCTCTTGCTGTGTGATGGAAGCCTGGCAAGAACATGTCCCTTTTATCTCTAATGTCTGCATTATCCTTAATTTTGATTGTCTGCAGCAGAGTGCTCAAATTGTCCATACATCCCTATTATGGTGCTGGATTAAGCTGTAGAGGATTAAGTCTAAATCAGTAAAAAAACCGCTATGAAACTCCAACAAATTTTATTATCAAATATATTATTAAGTCATTCTAGCATAGACAGAAATTTTCTACCAATTCTACCACAAAGTTTCATTCCAGAAACTTTGTGGTAGAATTGACTGGTATGTAACTATAGTTGAAGGAGTTTGTGGGGGAAGACCAATGGGATTATGTGCCATAATAGCCTTCCTTTTATTCTTTATGACCTAAAAACATGCCCATGCAGTTTTTCTGCTTGCCTGGGCACCAGATCCTCAGGGAGCTTTGGTTTGAGCACAGGACTGGACATTTGTCCACAGTAGCTGTGGCTGCCCCCTCCCTGGAAGTGCCCAAGGCCAGGCTGGATGGGGCTCGGAGTAACCTGGGATGGTGGAAGGTGGTGGAGACTGGATGGGCTCTAAAATCCTTCCAATCCAAATTGTTCTGTGATTCCAGGAACCCTGACCATGGAAGGATTCCCAGTTTTTTCTCCAGTTTCTTCCCTTTCCCTAGTATTACAAATCCATTCCTTCCCGTGCTTTGTAGAAGTAGTTTGAGCAGTTGCTGGAGGGATAAGATTAAATGAACAGTAATACACATTGTATTTATATATATTAGACCAGATTCTTTATCTGTAGTGCACTGGTGTTAAAGGAGTGCAGCACTGCTTGCCTCAGAGATCAGATGGCAGGGCTTGGTTCCTCACAGATGGTTTACAAACATAAATTCCTCCTTAGAGGTGAGTGTTCCCATTCTTTGGAGAGAAAGTGACATTTCTGCATAGGAACATCCGTGTGGGGTGTGTGTATGACATAAAATCCACCTGAGCAGTGACACTCTCACCATCCCTGTAACCTCTTCCCTTGCAGTGTGTTCTGGGATCTCTACTGTGCAGCTCCAGAAAGACGAGAAACATGTGAACACTCGAGTGAAGCAAAAGCCTTTCATGACTATGTAAGTTTTGTGTCTTTACCATGGCTTCATTAATTGCATGCATAAAATATGACAGAGAAGTATTTCTGCACTGCAGTGGCTCAGAAACACAGGTGTTGTTAATTTGTAGCACTCAGTTTTCTAGTGAGTGAAAATTTTTCAAATTTCTCCTTAGAATTAGGAGTTCATAATTGCCAGCAGGATATGGGTGACTCCTGGAAGCTGTCTCAGGGATCAAGGTGCTGTCCCAAGTGTTAATGCAGAATAAAGAGTGGCCTTCTGTCCCCCATGCCATGGACACGTGAGATTGGCCACAAAGATACAGGGCAGATAGAAGCATGGATGTGACCTTCCCAAATATCTGTGCTCTGTCAGTGCTAAAGAAGAGACTGTTCTGTAGATGGAATTGATCTCTGGCTTCTGTCAGGACCACCCTGGCTGAAACTGGGGTGGTTCATATGTTTTTATATCCTGAAATAACCCGGAGATTTTTCATCCTAATAAACAATCAAGCAACATAGAATAAGGGAAATACAAAATCAGCTGGTCAAAGGCAAAAGGAGGAATAAAGGGTAGAAGTTTCATGACAGTTTTACTGCCTTCGAGACTTCATTCAAAACACAGCAGGGGAGTCTTGAGTGAGAGTAGTTCTCACAATACAACTGTGAAACCTCTTTCCTTGAGTCTTTTCCACGTCTGCCTCACAAATAGTGTCTAGTTACTGCCAAAAAATATTTATACGGATAAAACTGATACTAGACTACCCTATCCCAGTGTCTTATAAACACAGTTAGGGAACAACAGAAATGAGTCAGCAAAGTGACCATTTTCCATGTTCTGTTGTCAAAACCTGGTAATGGCTTGGCATCCTACAACGTGTGAGCTAATGGTGATCTTGCCTTGTTGTTTATTTGCAGTAAACAAATAATGAGGCTCTGGATGCACCATCAGTACAGTCAGAGATGTCCAGCATCTTTCACCAATGTCTCTTTAACACCCTGTAGTGGTGGTTAAATTGTGAGGGTGTCTGGTTGAGGAGCTTGGACAATGTTGCAGTCATATCCAGGCTATGCTGACCACTAAACATAATTAATGAAAGAAATAATCATCAGAGAGAGGAACAAAGTTTAAGGACATTTTGTACTCACAGAGTTGTTAAGGTCAGCCAACTGAGTAAGGTACATTCCTGAAATTAAAAATGAGGTATCTCTTACAAGCACAATAGTTGTGGTCATTTTGTCCTAATCTGTTGCAAATAAAAAGTTGTTGGAAAAAGAAAGGACTGAGCTATTCATATTAGCTACTTAATATTTTGATTCCTTGTTATTGGAGGAAGGTTTAATTCCCCACTGAAGGAGCAGTTGTTTTACAGGAATAGTGTAAGACCGTGAGGAATGACATTAGAGATTTAAATCTGGCAGATCCAAAGCACAGCAGTTGACTTCAGTGGGGGACATTGTGTTCTCAAAATAAAGTGTATGTAACAAAAGCCAAAAATCTGAAAAATGTAAATATTGTTGTGAAACAAAATTGTGAAACAGAACGATCAGCAAGAGGAAATTTTCAGTGAAAAAGTATTTGGGGTCTAAAAGGAGTTCACAAACCTTTAGGCTCAGGAGAGTTCAACTGATCAGTAAGTTCACTATTGAGTCTAAATTTAGAGGTATACTAGGAATTTGAGTAGGTGAATGAAAGTAGTTAGAAAGCTCCTTTAGCATGTTCCATTAGCATTTCTGATTTCTACAGGCCTTGGAATGTTACATGGCCTTATTGCTCATTTATGATGTGTATTGTCGTAATTCAACAAAAGTGAGAAAATCCAAGTTCAGTGTGTCCCACAGTTCTGTGATTGAACATTTAACTTAATGTATATAGTCATGCTTGATGAAGGAAAGATAAAATCATGGTATGATTCTATTTGCACATCAGCACGGGATGAACACTTAATTTAGAAACAATTTGATTTATTTCAGAAATTAATGTGTCTGGTGTTTGTAAAACCCGTTCTCTCGGTGTTTTAGGGAGGCAGGAAGAGCTTCGCATTGTTTTTGTCACAGTTGGGATAAATTCATTTAATCCCTCACAAGACTCACAATGCTCCTTGTTATCACCTAGGTTTTGCTTAGGACAGTCTTCATCATGGTTCCTGTGTCTGGTATTTTAAGGTAGCATTGTAAGCTCATGTCAAAGAACAAGAAAATGGTATTGGGATATAGCCAAGCAGATCTCACAGCAGAGGAAGATGAACATGTAGTGAGTGAAATCCTGATCCACACAGTGTCTTACCATTGACTGTGGAGAGGTCAAAATCCCACCATCAGTGGGAACCATCAGAAGCTGCTGCTGGATTCTTCCTCCTGCAGAGGCTGCCAGGGCTGGTAAATCAAAACTCTGCTGCTACATTGCAGGTCAAGTAGTAGAGCATTTGTAGCTGTGCTGTCGTATCTGAAAACTGTTATTGTACGTACAAAACAGCACAGAAGGCTTGTTTATTAATTCATACGAGCAATTCAGAATTTTTTATTAGACATGTGTTCCACTTGACCTAAGAAAAACCGTTCCTGCTGAAGGGGTGCGTGGTCTGGCTGCTGCAGACATGGCAGCTGTAGCTGAGTGGGCTGTGTTTGGAGAGGAAATAATCTTGTCTTTGCTTTTGTGGAGAGAGAAAGGCTTAGGAATGCTTGATGGAGGAGGAAAGCACTTGCAGATGATTTAATGATTTGGAAATATTGCTGCCTCACTCAGCATAGCTGCGAGTCAGGCAGGAACACACAGGTTGACTCATGAAATGAATACACAGAAGGACTGAGTTTCTTCAAGTTTACTTATAAACTTTACATTATCTGAACTGTAAGATTAATGCTGTTTGATTTCTCTCCCCCCTCAGACAGTGCGTTGTTGCTTGCAGCACTACAATGCTCATCCTACTAAAATCCACTAAATAGAAAAGTAAAGCCCAAGTCTGGCTTTATAAAGAAGATTTTCCATGCTGATCCTGAATTTAAGTATTTGCAGCTCCCCCGTATTTAAAACGGATTTTGTGTTTATATTCTGTCAAGATTTGCCACTGTATATGTTTCCTTCTGAGCGAATGAGGTTCTCAACTGATTAGGTACATTTTTACCATTTTTTTTAGGCTTGAAAAGACGCATGTCATGAATGTGCATGTGCTGGATCAGGGAGATAGCTCCTGGCCTGGAAGTTTTAAGATATATCATGTAGAATAGGAAATTGTTTCAGGTGACTCAGGAAAGAAAACTGTTGCTTGCTCACCCAGCCTGTTAATACTGCAGGCGTTTCTGTAGGAATAGCTTCATTTGAAGCAGAAAAATCCCCGTGATTTTTTTCCGGGTACCTGTTACTTTACTTTTTCCTGGAGGAAAACTTCTGCACGCTTTGAAGTCTTGTGAGAAATCATGTACATGGATGGTCTGAGGCAAAATTCAGTCTTCAGTGTAGAATGGTTTGTGTTTCTTCACCATGTCCTGAGGAGATTTCTTCACCTCTCTAGTTAAGAGCTCGTTTTTCCACATTTTTAGATCTTCTGCTGAGAGAAGCAATTTCCAGCATGCATCTCTTTCCACTTCTTTCCAAGCTGAAAACTGGGTCCAAAAGGGGAAATAAAAACTGGATTTTTAGCAGTACCCCTTCTTCTGATGGCCACAAAAGACTATCCTGGCCATCCATCCCCATCTCAGGGATTGAAAGGGGTGGTACCTGAAAATCCTTCCTTACAAGGTGATTTCTGTACATAGCAGTTTCTGCTCTCCAGAAGTTCCTGTGCTCCTGTTATCTCACGCTCCTGGCATGGATATTTTTCCATGTGGTATTGTTGCAAAGAAGGGGGTACAGTGTTTCTCACATGTAGCTGTGTTAAGACTGCTCTCCAGAAGTTCCTGTGCTCCTGTTATCTCACGCTCCTGGCATGGATATTTTTCCATGTGGTATTGTTGCAAGGAAGGGGTACAGTGTTCCTCACATGTAGCTGTATTAAGGTCTTGATTATTTCCCAGGTCAGGTTTGATCAGTTCTGCTCCCCAACTCTTTGAAAGATCATTTCTGCTATGGGTAGAGGTGCCTGGTTTGTGTTTGTGTCTCCCAGAAGAATTCCAGGTAATGCACAGGAACAAACCAGAGATACTCCTTGCTCCAGAGACTGGAGTTCAGTGCTGAGCTCTGTGACAGAGGGTTGTAAGTGTACCAAAGACAGTGCTGACATTGCTTTTGTCCACATTATTCCTTTTAAAGGTCACAAGTAGAGAAATAAAATTTTCCTAGAAGTTACTGAGCATAGTGTGTGGACATTTGAGGTGGCTGCTCAATCTCTGCGCACCTCTCTTCAGAAAAGTTGGGTCTCTGCATTTATTTTTATGTTTTATGGGGAGAGAAATTACTTCTTTATTCTCTGGACCCATCTCTCTTCAGTAGAACTAAGAGGCACTTGCACACCCTAAATGCCCCAAGGCCCCTTAACTAATCATTATCAATACTCAGTATTTGAGGAGTTGTGAATACATTTATGTCTGTTTTGGACTACAGATTACCATGAAAAAAACTGTGAGGCTGTTCTCCCACAATAACTGTTTTGTTTCTGGTTTCATTAAACTGCTGTCCTCCTTCTCTTCCTTTTGCACAACAGGGATGGAGGAACTTGTTTTCATTCTTGATTGCCTGACCCATCTCTTGCTGCTGCGACCTTCTGCAGGCAGCCTAGCTAGGGCAGCTTTTGCTTCCAGCTTTATTGCTGAAAATGGAATTCCAGGTCTGGTCTCCAGCTGTCAGTTTCTGTGAAGAATGCTTGTTAAACTCCTTCTCCTTAAAACAGAAGGAAAAAACCCTCCCAATCATCCTTATCCTCCCATAGAAGGGCAAAAAAAGACAAGTTGTCCTGCTTTGCTCCAGGGCTTTTGTGCCAGAGACAATGCTGCTGATCTGAGTTACCTGTTAGTTCCTTACCCAAGTTCCACAAAGTTCTGAAAGGCCCTTTGCATGTTTGCTGATCATCACTAAGTCAGTGATTT